CCTGTGACTCTCTGCAGGGTGGGGCAGGGGCTCATAGCTGTGTTGAGGGGGAGGGTGGGGACAGGGAGTTCCCCGCTGGCCAGTCACTCATGGAAACCCCATCGCAACCCCCTGAGACAGGTGCTGTGCTTAGTTCCATTTTACAGGTGAGAAGACTGCAGTTCAGAGAGGTTATGTGGCTTGCCCAAGGCCACACAGGAAGCGATGAAGACAGGATTTGAATTCAGGCCTTGTTGCCCCAGAACACTTCCAGTTTCAAGCTCTCTTATGGCCCTTGGGCTCCCCATTGCCTTTGGGATCAAGCCCAGGCTTGTTAATGTGACATCCGAGGCCTCCTGGGGCCGCTGTTTCTTCATCTGCCAAGGTGCTGCCTTCGCCTCTGGACCTGCACATGCCCCCCTGCCCTGATGGGATGGTGCCAAGGCTGTGCCCCTCTCTCCACACCTTCCCCGCAAACCCCAAATGGTTTAGATCCTGGAATGAGAGGCTGGCAGGGCTTCTGTGGAGCAGCCGGGTCCGCCCCTGGTTTGCAGTCAGGGTGGGCCTTGCCCAAGGCCCGGTGCCTGGGGAGTGGAGCTGGAATCTGCACCCAGACTGCGGGACTCTGGTGCTCCCCACGACGCCCCGGGGTGACCTGAGCTGCTCTTGGCTGTGTCACTGTGCTACGGTCGGTCAGCTGGTTGCAGGGAGGATTCTCTCCCCTCCTGCTCGCTGCCCCCCCTCCCCGCTGTCAGATGCTCCTCTAGGAAGCACCCCTCCCGCCACTGGGTTACGCACCTGCCCTGGGCTTCCCGGGGCCCAGTGAGCTGTGAGTGCTGACTTACCGTCTGCCCCGCAAGGCAGGGTTCCCCATGAAGGAAGGCGCCCAGTGCTTCCCCTTCAAGTCCTTGGTGCCCAGCAAGGACTTGAAGAGGGAGGCCCAGAGAGGGGCAGAGCCCTGCCCCAGGTCACACAGCAAGGTGGGGAAGAACCAGGAGCCCGAGGAGGGCCCCAAGACCCTCCAGGTCCCCCCTTCCTGAGACTTCATGGAGCCCAGGGAAGTGGCAGTGTCTGTGACGGTCACCCCAGCAGAGGGCACTGCTGGAGGGCCTCTGTTCTCTGCTGCTCCCGGGGGCCTGGGGCCAAGGACGCCCTCTCTCCCGCTTGCTCCCACCCTCTGTGAAGGGTGTTCTCAAGATAAAAATACCTTCAGAAACATCCGCTGCTGTTCCGTGTGAGTGCTGTCCACCCTGCGGGGCCGGAACCTTCTGACCTGGCCTCACCTCGGGCTCGAGGGCGGACGTCGGCCTTCTCTGGCCCCTTGGCGCAGCCTCTTGGGGTTGACATGTCCAGCCCCCATTTCCACGCCACAGAATGTGAGGGGCCCGCGGGGTCAGGGTCACTGCAGGTTTCTGAGCACCCTCTGTGGGCTGGCCCTGCCCTGGGGGCTGATGTGTTTTGTGATTCCTTGCGGGCCAGGAGGCTTCTGAGGACCTCCGGCAGCCACAGGGAGCCTCGGGCCCAGCCAGCTTTCCGTCCTGTTGGGAAGCCTGTTTCTGCTCTCGTGCCCGAGTGGCGTCAGGAACGCCCGTCTCAGTAAATGCCAGCAGGACCCGCACTGTCGAGGCCAGGGCGGGGCTCATCTCACGACAGTCTCCTGAGGTGCGTGGGGTCTCTGCGTTTTGCAGATGGGGAGTCTCAGGCCTCAGTGGGCTGGGCGGCTGCCAGGCCCCTCCAGGGAGGGTGACAGCTGCCACCTCTCAGAGACCTGCTGGTGCCAGGCCCAGTGCCCGGCCTGCACCTTCATCACCAGCTTCTGTTTCAAGGCTCATCATCTGGGAGGCCTGGCAGGTGTCGCCAGCCTCGTGTTTCAGGGGAAGCTGAGCCTCAGGAAGGGGAAGTGCCTTGTCCTGTCCCGTGGGTGGTTTAGGCCCCAGCCTCCACCCAGGCCCTGCCCTCCCCTGCGGGAGGCTGTGGGCCAGCCCGGCCTGTTGGCCCTCAGTCCTGGTCATGGCGAAGCACCGCCCCTACATCCCACCTCCCCATCCAGGATTGTGACGGTGACCCCGGGAAACATTTGTGGGACTTGGCGGGGTGAGCTCACATGGCGGCTGCCGTGGCCCCTGCAGGCGGCGGGAGCTCTGGCCAGGGCATCAGGAAGGCTGGTTCCTGTTTGCAGAGTCCCGCCTCACCCTGTGATTTCTGGCAAGTCGCTTCTCTGCTCCACGTCTCAGTACCCCTTGTGTAAAGTGGAGCTAATTTTGTCTTCCTCCTAGATAAGAACACATCCAGCTGGATTTGTGGTCTGGGAATGCCCCTTCCAGGTAGTAGGGAGTGAGGGACGAGGTTGGGAGAGCCTAGGGCTGGCCAGGTGACCAGCAGGACGTGGGGAGACGCTTCTGGCCCCCACCCCTACTTGGCTCCTCATGGCCCTGTGGCAGTATCCCACCTCCACTGCTCAAGAGTTCCAGCTCCAGGTGACTGGGGCAGGTGACTTATCCTCTCTCAGCCTCAGTTTCCCTGTCTGTCTAGAGGGGAGAATCGTCCCTGTTCCAAGGCAGGGCTGTGAGCGTCAGGATGACTAGACAGCTGCTGAGCGTGCAGGGTCCGGCCCAGTGTGGGCGCACTCGGGGAAGGGCACGGACCCAAGTCCCTGGCATGGAGGCTTCCAGCTATGTGACACTGGCTTGTGACAGAACCTCTCTGAACCTCTGTGTCCCCATCAGTTTTGAGAGTGGAATGGCAGAGAGGCGAAGAGCGGGCCTGTGGCATCTGCTTTCAGAATGAGGGATGGGGAAGAAGGGGCTGGGGACCAGGGGACTTGGAAGTGAAGAGGGACTGAAGGGTTACTAGAGACGAGGTCATTCCTTTTCAGAGCAAGCTGAGAGAGGGGAAGTGACTCACCCCAGGTCACACAGCTTGTGAGGGGCAGAGCTGGGATTTGAATCCAGGTCTGTGTGTCCCTAAACCTCTGTCACCTGTCCCAGGAGCTGACGAGGTGCGGGTGACTCACCAACAGTTTCTTAATCCCAGCCAGAAAAACCAGTGTGACAATCCTGCCTTGGCTGTAACCTTAGAAAGGGCAGGCCCCATGAACTCCCTAGTTGGGAGGTGGGGAGGCCAGAAGCATGTCAGGTGACTCACCTCTGGAGATCCCCAGAGCCCCTTCCCACCACACTCTCCTGTGATTCTCACGGCACACTGGACAGGAGGCAGGAGGCCCCTTCGACAGGTGGGAAAATTGCATCTTGGGGAGTGCAGGGATCAGGTAGGATGTGTGTGTGCCCAAGGCAAGTCTCTGGCAAATTACTGATGTGTGCCCATCCATGTAGTTAGCCATGTGCCCACCCGCTCATCCATCTAGTCATCTATCCTACTCACCTAAACACCCTATCCACCCATCTGCCCACTCATCACCCATCCTTACACCCATCCACCCATCTGTCCACCCATTCATCCATCCCTCTATTCATTCATTTATCCATCAACCCATCCACTCATTCATTCACCCATCTACCCTCCATCCATCCATCCACCCATCACCCATCCATCCATCCATCCATCCACCCACCCATCCACCCATTCACCCATCTATCCATACATATACCCACCCACCCATCTATCTCTCCATTCATTTCTCTACTCACCCATACACTCATCTATCCATCCATCCATCCATCTACCCATCCATCCACCCACCCATCCACTCACCAGTCCATTCACCCATTTATCCATCCACACACCCCTCCATTCACCCATCTGTCTTTCCATCCACCCATCCATCCCTCTATCCATTCATTTCTCTACCCACCCATACACTCATCCACCTGTCCATCCACCCATCCACTCATCCACTTAGTCACTCACCCATCCATCACCCAACAATCCATTCATCCATCCACCCATCACCCATTCATGCATTAATCCATACATCCACCCTCTCACCCATCTACCCAGCCGTCCATCCCTCTATCCATTCATTTCTCCACCCACCCATCCACTCATTCACTCATGCATCCATCCAATCAATCATCCATCCATCCATCCATCCATCCATCCATCCATCCATCCATGCATCCATCCATCCATCCCATTCATCTACCCATCCATCCTCCCACCATTACCATTCATCCACCCATCACTCACTAATTACCCAACTATCCATCCATCCATTCCCTCCATCCCTCCATTCCTTCATCTACCTATCCACTCAGTCACCCACCCATCTACCCTTCATTCATCGATCTGTCTATCCATCCAGCCATCTACCTTCACACTTATCATCCGTCTGTTCCTCTTTCCTCCATTCATCCCTCCCTCCCTTCATCCATCTGTCCTTCTGTCCATTCATCCACTCATCCATTCACCCATTCACCCAATCATCCATTCTCGCATGCAACCAGACGTCCACCCTCACACCCAGCCACTCATTCACCCATCCATCCATCCACCCACCCATGTATTCATTCGTTCATCCATGTATTCATCCACCTACCCATTCATCCCTGCATCCATTTATCCGCCCACCCATCCATCATTCATCCTTCCATCCACCCACCCATTCATTCATCCACCCACCCAGTTATTCACAACTGACTCCAGGGTTGGTGTTGGGAAGCCTCTGCAGGTGGTGGCTGGGAGTACAGGCTTGTGATTGTAGGAGAATTACCACATTACCCACTTCTCTGGAATAGTCCCAACCTTGTGGGATTGTGAGGATTATGTGAGATGATGTATGGGAAATGCCTGCTATAGTGTCTGGCATGCTGTAGGCACGCACTAATTGTCAGCTGTTATTTTTCTCTGACACCCATCTTGTTCTGCCCTGCTCTGGTTCTGGATGGTTGCTATGCTGTGAAGGTGTGGGGTCTCAAAGGTGCAGGCCAGAGGCCCCTCCACCTCTGTGGAGCCCTGGGGAAGTGAGCAGAAATGTGTGTTCATGTGGTTACGTCTTACTTGTGAGCTCCTCTGAGAAGAGCAGCCCCGCCTACAGTAACTCGGCTTTACTCTGTTAACTTCAGGGTGTTCCAGTGACTGGATCCTCTCCAGCTGGTGCCTGGAAAATGGCAGCCACTGCTAGCTCGGCCTTGAAGACAGTACCTTGCCCACTCAGCACCATTACGTAGAAGACAGAACTCAAGAGGTAAGAGAGAAGTCACTGAGGTGCTCCTGTGCATCTAGGCGCTCCTCCCACCAGACTCATCTGCACGCCCTTCACCCCTCCAGCCACCATGCCATCCGTCCATCACCCACTCCCCACCCATTCATCTGCTCAGCCTTCCGTCCACCCTCCCATGCCTCCACCCTCCACCCATCCCCTCACCCATGCCATCATTTCATCCACTCCACACCCATTCATCTGCTCAGCCCTCATGCACCCACCCTTCCACCCGCCGAGCCAGTCCCTCTATCTGGTCACCCCTGTTGTCCACCCACCCATCTGTCAACCCGATTTTCTACCCACCTGTTAATTCAGTCACCCTTCCACCCATCTCCTCCTTCATCCCATTCAGCGGCTTAGTCCTTCACCCTTCATCTGGCTAGGGGGCATTTCCCGGGTGCCCCTCTTTACTAGGGCCTGCATCAGCCTCTCTGGACCTCTGAGCTTAGTCAGAGGTGGCGCCTGGGCAAGATCAACTCTCACGCAATATGGGAAGTAGCTTCTGGCCTGAACAGGAAAAGCCCAGTGATACAGGATCATAAAGGGTTTCATGGAGGAGGAAGGGGAGGAGGAGGAGGGGAAGAAGGAAAGGGAGGAAGGGAGGGAGGAGGGGGAGGAGGAGGAGAGGAAAGGGGAGGAGGGGGAGGGGAAGGAGGGAGGGGAAGGGGGAGGAGGAGACTTGGTGTTTCAGGCATCCGGGAAGCGGGGCCAGCGTTCAGGAGCCTTTGATGAGGGGAGGCTGCCAGAGACCCTGTGAGGAAGGCCCAGGAGACAAAGCTTCCAATGCGAGTGGTTTCCTGGGAAGAGATCCCAGGAAGTCAGGAAACGAGGTGAGAAAGAGAAGGAAGTAATAAAGGGCATGCCATTGACACAGTTACTGCTGGGGCGCTGGCACCCAGTCCGGCTGGGGAGGCCAGGGAGACGGCGCCCACTCTTGGCCACCCCCCTCCCCAGGGGCAGCTTTCTGGGGCCCAGTCACCTGCTCCCATCAGTCACTGATCGAAAGCTGTCCTGGCAGCATCAGCTCCCCTGCCCTCTGAGTGGCAGAGCGTGCCCATGGCTAGAGAGAGCTTCTGGGCAGAAAGACACTGTGATTGGTGTAGGAACTGAGACAGGTGGGCCTGGGACACGAGTGGGGCACCCACCACCCCATGCCCGGCACACGGGAACACGTTGCTGCTGCGTCTCTCCTCGGGCCTAGTCTGCTTGTGGCATAGGCAGTCGGCATGGCATTGGACCGAGATGTTTGCGGGCCATGGATGAGCTTGGTGGGCAGAGGCCAGCTGAGCCTCTGGTGGGGAAGTTTGGCCTGGAAACGGGATGGGCACAAGAGGTCATCATCTTTTCAGATGATGAGACCTAGGAATGCTGTCCCCCCACTCTCCCCCTCCACACCAGCCAGGGCTCTTCTCAGTCAGCCAACTTCCCTCACTGCCACCAGGGTGCCCAGCACATCCTTGCCTCCCACTCCTGGCTCTGGCATTGCCCCTCGGGAGTGCCCCTCCTGGCTGCCCACGCCCAGCCTGGCCTCGATGTGGTCCCACACCCTGGGCAGGGCCTGGCTCTGCCTCTCGCCCCCTATGGGTTGGAGCAAGGGCACTGGCCCAGAGCCTCAGTCTCCCCATCTGCAAAGGAAAGGCTGGGCTTTCCTGGCCCCGTGCCGCGTCTGATGAATGCTGGCTGGATTAGGGAAGATTCCGAGCTGCCCTGGACGCAGCGGGTGAAGCCCTGTGGCTGAGGAGTAGGGCTTGGCTGGGTGAGGCTGGAGCAGGTGCCTTGGGTGGCGGGAGTGGGGTGTGGGGGCCAGGGGACTGGGGGCGGGTCGTGCACCAGTCTTCCCTGCGCTGAGTGATCGTGGAGGAGTCTTCCAATGGCGCAGCTTGCTCATGAGGTAGAGTGGCCCGTCTCCAAATAAGGGTGAATGGCTGTGGGTCGGAGCGCCGGTGAGGGCCGCTTCGGCGCGCTGGTTTGCGGCAGTCTCCGGTCTCATCCCTGCCGGGATTGCAGGGGCTTGGGACCAAAAGCATTGCAGTGCCACGCACTCAGCCAGGCCTCGAGTCTTGGGGTTGTGGGGCACTGGTTTTGCCCTCCAAGCCCAGCCTGGAAGCTTCACTCCTGAAAGGCTGTGTGACCCTCACAGTGACTCAATCCTTCTAAGCTTCCGCTTGCTCGTCTGGAAAATGGGGATGGTAGTCAGTGTGATGGCAGGGATGAAATGAATCTGTTTATTAAAGCTCTTAGAAGAGCACCTGGCAGGCAGTTAGCACTTGACAGATACTGAGAGCTGTGCTCGTGTCTCGGGAGGAGCCCCAGCTAGCTGGACACTCTCTGCTTGGTGGGTGGGGGCGTTGGCGCCTCCCACTCTGAGTCCCTGTGTCTTAGCCTGGGTGGTGTCAGCCCCTGCACTCTCCCTTCCTGTTGGTGCTTTCTTGGTGTCTGGGAATGTGGGTCCAGGCCTTGCCCTGGACTCCTCCCGGATGTCACCGAAACCTGAGAAGCCCAGGGCTTCAGGGCAGTGGGCATGGGGCGTCCAGCTTTATCCGGAAGCACCTCCCAGTGACTCCTGGACCCCACCCTTAGGACATGTGGCAGCTGCCATCTGGCGTCCTCTCTAAAAGCTCCCAGCCCAGGACCTGGTCTGTTCTTCAAGTGGCCTGGTCACCGGGAGGCTGTGTCTGTAGGCACTGTGGCCAGCAGAAAGGCAGGCTAGCAAGGCGGCTGGGCTGGGACCAGCTTTGCCATCTCCGGGGTCTGCCGGGTCTGTGCTGTCTCCCTGCTGCCTGCTCTCTGCCTGCTGGGCTTGATTCACCGCCCCTTGGTGCTGAAACCGCCTCGTCTAGCTCAGGTAGTGTACCCCAGCGCCCCTCTCCCGTTCTCCTCCCGGCAACCCTGGGCCCCTGGCGGGCCAGCCTGGGCGTCTGCAGAAGACAGTCCTAATTGTAATAGTGAGTGCCTCTTCCTGGCCCTTGAATTGCTTTGTGGCCTGGGCAAAGTCTCTTTTTCTCTTTTGGACTTGGTTCTCCCATCGGTGAAATGGGGAGCTGGCCTCTGCTAAGGCCTCTTCCAGCAAAACAAATTCTCAGAGATTCTCCTGTCTTGTCCGATTTCACTGTATGCACCCCATTGAGCAAGAGTCAGAAAGGCCTGTGCGTCCCTGGTGGAGGATATTGTCCCGTGTTTCTTAAATTACATCCTTAAAGGCCGCCTGGTTGTGTAATTTCTTGCCACGCCTGTGTTTATGCAGGAGTGTTCTTGGGACATTGTCTTGCCTGTGGTGCTGGGGTTTCTATGTCAGGGTCCCCTTCTGGGTCTGTCTTTGTGGTGCTGTATTCACCAAGTGCCCAGTGAGAGGGCTTCTGGCGCCCCGGGGAGGGGCTTTGTCTCTCACACTCAGGTACACACAGCAGAGCAGGGCCATGAGAGGCTCAGGACTGACGCTGTAGGCTCCAACTCTGTCTCTTCCTGGGACAGGTGACTTTGATCCAAGTCAATTTTGGGCTTTGAGAAATTAAGGAGTGGGGCGTGAACTTGACCTTGTTGATGAATATCAACAGAAGTAGGGGTTTCTAAGCCTGTATGACACTGTCTGGGCAGGTCTTGGGTGCCCAGCCCTGGTATAGATGCCAGGAGCTGTGGCAGCACCCTCACCTGCCTGGTAGCTGGCCAGTTTCGAGGCTGCCAGCTGCTTGTGCGGACGGAGCTCTCCGGCCTTTGATTCTTGTGATTCTGTTCCTTGCAGGCCTCGAGCTGCTTGGAGCACGGGCTGGAGCAGCCATGACCCGCTGGACATCCCTCAAGGCCCTGGGGCCACACAAATCCAGCCCCTGCCAGCGGGTGGCCTCACGCCGGCGTCTGAGTGCCCCGGCCGTGGCTGCCTCCCTCTGGAGGGTCCAGGAATCTGGGGCTGAGCCCCCTTCCCAGCACAGCCTCACGGGTGCTCCCTGCCGCCGGCTCCCTACTTCCTGGCTCAGGCAGAAGCAGTGCCCGCCATTCCAGCCCTGGGTCCCAGCTCCTCAGAATCATGGTGAGGTGGTCAGCCTCAGCGGCGTTGGGGGAGGACGTCAGAGTGAGGAAAGGCGTCCCCTGCAGAGCCTGGGGGCCCATGGTGGGAGACTGTGCTCGAGGTGGTTTAAATCTCAGCTCTCCTGCTTTATGGCTGTGTAGCCTAGGGGGAGTCACTTAACCTCTCTGAACCTAGATGGTGGCTGCACCCCTGGGTTGTTGAGAAGATGAACTGAGAGCAGCTGCTAATGGGTCTGCCCCACGAGGCACCTGGGACCCCGCCTGCTCTCCCTGGGTCACTCCTGCTTGGACCACTGGCTGGGCGCCCAGTGACAGGGGCAGCCCCGGGAGTGTTCCATAGCCTGGCTGGGCAGGCGGCTTCGCCCTCACCGGCGCTCGGGTGTTTGGAGTAGAGGTCAGAGGCCGCGCGCGCTCCGAAGCCCGGAATAGACGGGCCACGAAGACCGGGGCTGAATCCCGCCCAGGGGACTGGGGCACGTTCACTCCGGCTTCTGAGCCTCCAGGTTCTTGTTTGTACAGCAGGGTGGCCCACCCCTCCCTGGAGGGCCTGAGGCCTGCAGACGGCCATGTGCGCTGCCCCGCCCGCGGTGGTCCCAGCCACCCAGGACCTTCTCTTGGGGTCTCAGTGTCTTCATAACCGAGGAACGTGGTTGCAGGTGTGCCAGAGACAAAGCTCTGTGTAGCTTTGAGGTCACAGTGTAACAGGACCGGGACTTGGGGTGCAGGGTCCCCGTGGCTGGGGAGGGGTGGGCCTGTCCGGCTCCTCAGTGCGGCGCTGATGCTGGAAGGCCCAGGTCTCCCTGCTTCCAGCCTAGCCCAGCCGAGGCAAGTTGCCATCCAGATGCGGCTGCAGGCCAGGAGGTGCCATAGCTGCACGCTTGCAGATGCCCTGGCCTGGCACCGACAGGCCAGCGTGGGGCCTGTAGTGGGGGCAGCGCAGCCTGTGTGTCCTCGGGGTGGGCACGTTGGCGGCTGAGAGCCGGCTTTGTTCTGGCTGGCATGGGCACCCTGCTGTGGGGCCTGCCTTGGGGTGACCCTGTGTGCATGAATGTGTGGTAGGCTGGCCCCGAGCCAGGCGCTGCCTGCAGTGAGCTGAGGACAGTGCTGCCAATAGGTGACACCCCTGAGCGCTGCCCAGGTGCCTGGTGATGGCCTCGAAATCTTCCTCAGAGACGTGGGAGGCAGGGGCTGTGGAGAGCCCTTGGCTGAGTTCAGCCAGGGAGAGACCTGAATTTGGGTGCCAGGTCTTGCCCTCCTTGGCACTGCCAGTGACCAAGAGGCTGCAAGCATGGCATGTGGGTGGACACTGCGGGGTGGGGTGTGTGGGTGTCCGGGGGGTGGTGAGCCCCAGTTTGAGGTGTTCCAAGTGGGTGGCAACAGGGGTGGCAGGCCCTGTTCTAGGCCCTGGGAGGGACAACAGGAAGCAAAATGGAAAATGTGCTGCCGTTGAGGAATGGGGTCTCAAGGTGGGATGTGGGGAAGCCCCCACTACCTTCTTGTTATTGCTGCCGCCATTGTGCCCTCAGAAAGGGCAGTGCTGTATGGGAAGGGGCAGTGCCGCAGACACGGGGGGGACGGGAAGGGGCAGTTCTGTGGATATAGGGGGGATGGGAAGGGGCAGTTCTGTGGATATAGGGGGGATGGGAAGGGGCAGTTCTGCGGATACAGGGGGGACGGGAAGGGGCAGTGCCGCGGATACAGGGGGGATGGGAAGGGGCAGTGCTGTGGATACTGGGGAGACGGGAAGGGGCAGTGCTGCGGATACAGGGGGGACAGGAAGGGGCAGTGCTGTGGATACGGAGGGACGGGAAGGGGCAGTGCCGCGGATACGGGGGGACGGGAAAGGGCAGTGCTGTGGATACGGAGGGATGGGAAGGGGCAGTGCCGTGGATACGGGGGGACGGGAAGGGGCAGTGCTGTGGATACGGGGGGATGGGAAGGGGCAGTGCCGTGGATACAGGGGGGATGGGAAGGAGCAGTGCTGTGGATACTGGGGGACGGGAAGGGGCAGTGCTGTGGATACGGGGGGATGGGAAGGGGCAGTGCTGTGGATACTGGGAGCGTGTAGGAAAGGGCAGTGCTGTGGATACTGGGTTGGGGGGTAGGAAAGGGCAGTGTGATGGATACAGCGGGAGGTGGTGTCTTCCTGGGGCACAGGGAAGCCTCTCGTCCCAAGGTGGTAAGGTAGGGGCCGGATAGCTGGATGGAGGTTGTCCAGGGTGGGTTTGAGGAACAGTCTAGGGCCAGGGGCTGGGGCAGGAAGAGGAGTCTGTTGGAGGAGACTGGGAAGTGAAGTTTAAGGGGTCAGGGGCTTCCCTGTGCAGGTCCTGCATGTCCCGAGGAGACTCTGGCATTGAGCAGGGGAGGGACAGTCACCAACTCAGCTTCCACAGGCTCTCCGAGGCTGCTATGGAGACTGGGGGGCCACAGGCAGAGGCAGAGAGGCTGGCAAGGTGTCACCCAAACTGGCTGGGCAGGCACTGGTAAGATTCAGGCCTTGAGGGTGGGAGAAGGGGTGGATCCTAACAGACTCTGAAGGCAGAGCCCTCCGTGTGGGAGTAAGGTGTGGAGCTGAGGGCTTTGGCTGGAGCTGCTGTGGGGACAGAGGGGGTGGCCACTCGTACTGAGAAGGCAGAGTGGGGAGTTGGCTTCCGAAAGACCAGAGCACGACTGTGGGTCAGTAGGGTGGAAGCATCCTCCTGTCACGTCTGGAGGCCTTGGGAAGAGGGTGGAGCAGCCCAGAGCCACCAGCCAGCCAGACATGGTCTCCTCTCTGTTGCAGGAGCCGTCCCTCCTGGAGCCAGCCTGGGTGCAAGCCAGGGCCCCCGAGCCCCCGGGATGACTGCGGCCAGCCGGGCCAACCCCTACAGCATTGTGTCATCGGAGGAGGACGGGCTGCACCTGGTCACCATGTCGGGCGCCAATGGCTTCGGCAACGGCAAGGTGCACACGCGGCGGAGGTGCCGGAACCGCTTCGTCAAGAAGAACGGCCAGTGCAACATTGAGTTCGCCAACATGGACGAGAAGTCACAGCGCTACCTGGCCGACATGTTCACCACCTGTGTGGACATCCGCTGGCGTTACATGCTGCTCATCTTCTCACTGGCCTTCCTCGCCTCCTGGCTGCTGTTTGGCATCATCTTCTGGGTCATCGCCGTGGCCCACGGTGACCTGGAGCCAGCTGAGGGCCGTGGCCGCACGCCCTGTGTGATGCAGGTGCACGGCTTCATGGCGGCCTTTCTCTTCTCCATCGAGACACAGACCACCATCGGCTACGGGCTGCGCTGTGTGACGGAGGAGTGCCCGGTGGCCGTCTTCATGGTGGTGGCCCAGTCCATCGTGGGCTGCATCATCGACTCCTTCATGATCGGCGCCATCATGGCCAAGATGGCGAGGCCCAAGAAGCGGGCGCAGACGCTGCTGTTCAGCCACAACGCCGTGGTGGCCCTGCGCGACGGCAAGCTCTGCCTCATGTGGCGCGTGGGCAACCTGCGCAAGAGCCACATCGTGGAGGCCCACGTGCGCGCGCAGCTCATCAAACCACGGGTGACTGAGGAGGGCGAGTACATCCCGCTGGACCAGATCGACATCGACGTGGGCTTCGACAAGGGCCTGGACCGCATCTTTCTGGTGTCGCCCATCACCATCCTGCACGAGATTGACGAGGCCAGCCCGCTGTTCGGCATCAGTCGGCAGGACCTGGAGACGGACGACTTTGAGATCGTGGTCATCCTGGAGGGCATGGTGGAGGCCACAGCCATGACCACCCAGGCCCGCAGCTCCTACCTGGCCAACGAGATCCTGTGGGGCCACCGCTTTGAGCCTGTGCTCTTCGAGGAGAAGAACCAGTACAAGATCGACTACTCGCACTTCCACAAGACCTATGAGGTGCCCTCGACGCCCCGCTGCAGCGCTAAGGATCTGGTGGAGAACAAGTTCCTGCTGCCCAGCGCCAACTCCTTCTGCTACGAGAATGAGCTGGCCTTCTTGAGCCGTGACGAGGAGGAGGAGGCGGACGGAGACCAGGATGGCCGAAGCCGGGACGGCCTCAGCCCCCAGGCCAGGCATGACTTCGACAGACTCCAGGCTGGCGGCGGGGCCCTGGAGCAGCGGCCCTACAGACGGGAGTCAGAGATCTGAGCCAGTCTTGGCCACATGCAGCATCCACCCCCTGCCGGGGAGAGGCCCTGCCGTCCCTCAGGGGCCCCGGGTTTGAGCAGAACGGGCCCGGTGCCCTGGGTTGCAGACTCAGTAGCGTTTTAGTCGTTTTATGTTTCTTTGCAACAGCCTCAGGAGGTTGGCCGGAGAGGGGGCAGCCAGAGCGGCAGTCCCCGGCCTCAGAGGCTATCGCAGGCTCAGGGCAAAGAAGTGGCTTCTTGGGGGGCCAGGCCTCGGGGGCCAGGGTTTCTGCCTGAAGATGGAGCTGCCACCTGCGGGGAGGCAGCTCAGCTCCATGGTGGGCCCAGCCTCTGCTGTCTGAAGCTGGCCGGCTGCGGTGCTCCTTGCTGGTTTTTAACTTGGGGAGAAACACTGGGTTTCAGTTTTCTTGACCTTAGCTTGGGTAAGACTGTTTACAAAAAAAAAAAAATTACGATGCGATTGAAAAAAAATTTTTTTAATTCATAGGGGGCAAAAAGAACACTTAGAATTCCATGGGTCGGCCAGGATGCAGCTGGCTGGAGGCTCCAGAGGGTTCCCCGAGGTGGGACCGGCCTCTCCCCGTGTGTGGGCACTGCAGCTCCCGGGCATGCAGGTTGCTCGGGGACCCCACTTCGTCGAGCTCTCCAGCCTGCTAGGCTCTGTTTGTGATAGAAAAATCAAGACCATGTTAACGATCGTAATAAAAGCTTTCTACTCTCATTGGGGTGGTGGGTGGGGCTGGGAAGAAACTGGTTTGAGCTTTTAGAGTTTGACTTTGTACCTTAGAGATGTGTCTCAGGGCCAGCATGGGACCTGCCGTCGAGGGTTCCTCCCCCCACCCCCAATTTTCCTGTTGCGCTTCTCTCTCCATTTCTGCCCAGGCCTCCGCCCCTTCCACAGCGAGGGGGCCGTTAGGAGCCATAGGCCGGGATGGCTCCTTGGGAAGGGAAGTTGGGATCCCAGGCTAGGAGGAAGCCGGCAGCCCCGTCCCCACTGGGCCCACAGTGAGTCGTGCCTTAGAGACTCCGGGTTGTCCTGTTCTTACTGGGCTCGCTCGTCTACCCCCCACCCTGTCCCAGTCCGCCCCCCCACCCCCATACCTCCACTGCTGCCCTTCCCACTAGCCCCTCTGTCTGCCTTGTGAAGGTGGCAGGGGCCAGACCTGCCTGACATAGGACCACATCCTGTCCCTCCCTCACCTGGGATAGCACAGCGGAATCCAGGTGGGGCACAGCCAGACCCTGGTCAGCGTTGAATGGCAGAGAAAAGATCTTAGGAAAGGAGAGGAATCGTCACCTCCTCCCGCCAACTGAGATGACTGGGGAGTACCATGCTCATTCAAAGCTGCATCAGAAACCGGCCGAGGAACAGAATTCCGGCTGAGGCTTCTGGGGCCACTCCTCCACCGCCTTCCCCGAGGTGGAGGCACTGTGGCACCCTAGTCAGGAAGAGGTTTGGGGTTCCCTTGGTGTCCCTGGCCACTGGCTCTGCCACCCGATCTTGTTCTTGGCAGCTGGTCGGGGTGGGTCCGGGATGGATCCAGGCCCTTCCTAGGGCTGCAGGGAAACCTGCTCTCCACCAGCCGGGCCTCTCCAGAAGCCGGTGAGCAGACAGCCCGTGTCTCCTGCTCCAACTCTGCCCCTGAGGCACCTCAGAGCCAGAAGGCACCAGGGACTCTCTGGCCCAAGTGGGGAAGTTGAGGCAGAGAGCAGCGAAGGGGTCATGCAGTGAGCAGTGGGGCATGGGAGGCAAAGAAGGGCCGGGGGGCCTGGGGTGGGGGCGCCTGCCTCTTCCCTCCGCCTCCTCACCTCCTTCCAGGCAGCTGAAGACTCAGCCCTGAGGACTCGGGCCATGGAAGTCAAGACACCTGATCCCCGAACCCTGGGTGGGCCTGACTCAGCCTCCTGTCCCGGCTTCAGCCCCACCCTCATTTCTGACAGAGAAGATTCAGCCGAGGCAGCTCTTTGCCCTTGGGGTCTGCCGGAGATGCCTCAGCTGGTTCCTGCTGCCAGGCCTGGCCCTGAAGCCTGAGGGGCTTTCTCAGCCTTAGCCCTGGGTGCTGGGGTGAAGTCAGCAGGGGAGAGCTTGGTTTTCACTTCCGCCTCCCTGATGGCCATGCTGAGGGACAGTGGTGACCCTGGTCACTTGGTACTGGTGTAGGGGCCTGTGCCCTTCCAGGCCCGGTGAGCCAGGCTTCTACCCTCCCGACCCAGAGCTGAGTCCGGTGGCCCTAGGCCCACCCCCTGGCCCTCTCCGAGGTCTGTGCCCTAGCTGCCCGGCCCCCACCCAGCAGGAGAGCCGCCTCATCTCCCACAGGCAGGCAGATGCTTGATTCTCCTGTCCTCTTTCTTCCTTCCCCTGTATTTATTTATTTACTTATTTATGGCTTGTGCTAAAGACCAAAATAGTCTCCCTCTTTAGTGCACTTGAAGTGGGAGGGCGGATGGGACGAGCCAGGAGCGAGGGAGACTTGGCCCCTGGGGAGTGTGTGTGTGAAGGCGTGTGCCCGTGTGAGCCTGCGGGCATACATGGGTGGCACACACGTGCACCCTCAGCTCTTCATGCGTATGACTGGGTCAGTCATACAGGTGCGTGATCTCTCCATGTGTGTGTATGTGTGTGTGTGTGCACGTGGTTATGTGTCTATCTACCCACCGGTGTGTCTGTGTGCAGGTTTCCTACGAGGGGGACTGTGAGGCTGGGCACCCACCTGTCAGGTTGGGCACTGGCCACAGACACTGGCACAGTTGAACCCCCCAGTCCCTGACCCTCTGCCCTGATTACGCACGTCTGTGCCTGAGTAGAGCTCATTTTCCTGGATGAGGTACCTAGAGGTGAGTGCGTGCATCTGGCTCGTGTGTAGGGGGCTGTGTGTGTGCCCATGTGAGCCCGTGTACCTGAGTGTGTGTGTGCAGCCCGTGCGTGCTGCTCAGAGCACGGTGGCTGCCCCCTGAGCCTCTACTGGTGCTGTGCTGCCCGGTCCCTACCCAGAGGGTCCTGGGGGGCAGGGAGGAGCCACCATTGGGAGGCCCCTGTGCAGGGTGTCTGCCCTGCATGAGGTCATAGAATGTCAAATTATTTTAAATGGTGAAACCGGAGAATTTTCATGTTATTTTCAATACATAGCAGTATCTAAAGACGTAGGCGATGAGACTAGACCACATTAAATGCATTTTGATCTCTTTGAGGTCCCCTGTGTCGAGATGTGTTATCTGAAGGTCCCCTGCATGGCTCCGCAGCGTGCTGGGCATCCGCCGTCTTCCTCAGCCTCCGCCTTGGTGGGGGCTCCTGGGGCTTCCTCATGGGTAAGGGTGGGGCACGGTGGCAGCTGTTGGGAGAAGCAGAACGCAGCCTCCTGGCAGCTCCCAATGGCCTCCAGCAAGCACACGGGGCTTCTTCCCATGATGTCACCCCTCCTGCCTTCCTTGCTGTTGCAGCGGCGCCCTCCCCAGACTGGACGGGCAACCCCTTTAGGGGCTGAGGAGGAGTGTCAGAGCATGCCGGCAGCTCCACTGAGGTGACGAGAGGAGCCTGGGGTGGGGTGGGGGAACACACGTGGCCCATTTTTGGGAAACCGACTCATCTGTGCCTGGAGGCTCAGCCTCATCTCCAAGGTCTTCAGCAGGGGCTTGTCGGGAGAGAATTCCTTCCCTTCCCAAACGATTTCTGTCAGTGGAGAGTTCGCCACTCCTCCGCATCAGCAAAGGACTCAGGAGACCCTCTTTCTGCAGGATTTAGATGATGATTCCAGACAAACCCCCGTCCCACTCATTCCCGGCTGATGGTGCCATGCATGGCAGGTGTGGAGCACGGGCTTGGGGGCTAGGGCCCCGGAGGTCACCAAGGCTTCCCAGTGGGAGCTCCCTTGGGTTGGACCTGTGGTGACAGGGGGACACTGGAGCTGGCTTGGTTTGGTTGGGACCTCCCCTCTGACTCTGGAGCCCTCCTGGGACCCCAGTAGCTAACTGGGGCCAAAACACGATGCCATCTGTCTCCACTCCACTCAAGTCCTCTGGGCCATTCACACTGCACTGACTGATAGGCACGGGCCCCAGGGGCATGAGGCCCTTGCTCCAGTTGGTGCTCAGCAAATATTTATTATAGAGGCTTTAGGTGCCATGTCCTGGCTGTGCTAATCCCGCAAAGGGTCCTGGGTCAGAACCCAGGCCACTCATTTGCTGGGGAACCTCCAGTGAATTCCTTTCCCCATCCAGCCTCGGTCTCCCCATCTGCAAAAAGAGGCTGGCAGGAGAATGGCCTAAGAATGGCCAGCTGGCAGGAGAAAGAAGGAGGAGAAAGAACCCCGATGTAGTGAGTGGTGCCCGGAGGCTGCCCTCTGCTAAGGCGTATTGTGCTGGCACTGCCCACCCTCCGGAGGGGCACACAGAGGCACCATGCTGGCTCAGGGTCATAGCAAGAATTGCACAGACCTGACCACAGGTCTGTGTGACTTCCACACACTTCCCTGCCTTTCCAGGGGTGACGTGAGCTCAACCCAGAATCTGCTTTAAAACAGGTAGAGCTGGGGTGGGGGTGGAGAGCTTGTGAGTGTTCACTGGGAGCCTGTGAACTTGAAGTTTGAGGCCTGCTCAGGCCTCAGCCTTGATCTTGGACGGGCCCCTGCCAGCAGACCTCAGAGGAGCCGCTAACCTGTTTTAGAGGAGGTTGGTGGAGGGAGGCTGAGGGACTTGCTTGAGGCCCCCACAGGGTAGTTCCTCAAGCTGGGATCTAAGCCAGGCCCTGGACCCTTGGGTCAGCTGACCCAGATGCTGCCACCCTGCTGGGCACTGGACCCCTCGGGGCCTCCGCCTGCTGGTCCCAGGGCTGGGCTGTGGTCTCGGCCAGCGGAGGGATGGCCCAGCTGGGGCCTGCTCCAGACTCATCTCCACTTTGCCCTTCCTAAAGCCAGCCTGCAGGGAGGACCCCCACAACTCGGGAGGAATCAGAGCGGAGATCAGAGCTGCCCATGTGCTCCCCAACAACAGTGGGGGCCCCCAAGGACACACCCCACCCCCTTCACCCCACTCTCCACCCAGCACCAGAGTGGTCTTCTTACAACCGGCCCCCTGTCTGAAACCCTCCCTGGCTTCTCCCCAGCACTGGGGATAGAGTCCCAGCTGCTCTCTGCCTCCTTCTCCTCTGCGAGCCTGAGCCGGCCTCGTGCAGCGCACCCCTCCCTGCTGTCCCTCCCACTCCTGCCCCTCTGCTGCGGGCACCCTGCCCCTTGAGTTCCACATGTCCCCCCATCCCAGGACCTTAGCACATGCCTTCCCTCTGCCTGACACTTTCCCCCTGGGTCTTAGCAGACACAGCCACTCAATTTTTGAGTCTAGGCCTTCCCGGACCCAGTGTGAGGGTGGCAGATGCTCCCCCTGGAGGCAGCCGTCACCCCCAGGCTTGCTCTCTGCTGCTCTCACTGGGCCGTGAGCTCTGTGGGGCAGGGACCGTCGCTGCTCCCCGCTGGTGCCCAGTGCCAGGAGCAGGGCACGGAGGAGCTCCACGTGTGCTTGGATGCGGGGTGCGGGCCCCGAGGGCGTCTCTCCCACACAGAGGGCTCCGCAGGTCTTCCAACCTGAGGCCCCTTCCCGCTGACCCAGCCTGACTGAGGCCCAGCCACCAGCCGCAGCCAGGGGAGAGCAGCGTAGCCTGGGGCAGCTGGAACCAGGAGCCGGGAATGCGGCAGGTGAGGGCTTTGTGCTAGAGGCGATCTGAGCCCAGGAAGGGTCTGGGGACGCCACCCGCTTTCCTCCTCGGTGCTGCCAGGAAAACACAGGAGGCGGTCCCCCTCGCCACAGCTGGACTGGGGCCTGGATGGCTTCTGGACTCTGCCCTTCATTGTTTATCACTGGACGACTCTGGGCCTCAGTATGAGTTCCATTCATTCCTTCAACAAGTATTTATGAGCCGCCACCAAGGGCATCAGGGGCTGGGTGGGGAGGAAGCCTGGCCCAGCAGAAGCTGAACAAGGGTCTGGGCCCATGTCCTCTAGAAGTGGGGATTGTGGAGCAGGGGATGGAGAGGGGAGAGGGTAGCAGCCCTGGCAGGAAGGAGTCGAGGAGGGGCGTGGGTGCCATGGGAGCCCAGTGCTGGGGCACTCCGAGGAGCGTGAAGAGGGGCGAGGGGTTGTCCTCCTTAGATGTGTGGGGGAAGGCGGGGGCGGCGGCTGCTGATGCACTCCTCGGTCAGTCCTTGCCTGCAGCAACCCTGGGAGGTGAGGTGGCTCCTGTGGATCCAGGACGATCAGGGAAGGATAGCGGCGAGACGGGCACTGCTCCCTGGAACGGGGATCTGAGTGGCCCCAACCATGTCCGCTGCAGTAAGGGGCTACAGAGCAGCATGCTTGGCTGGGGTGGGCGGGTCACCGAGAGCCCGAGGACCCTGCATAGGGTCCTCGAGCCCCCTCCCCGGCCTCCACCATAGCCCACCTGGGTTGTTAGGCCTTGGGAGCAGGACTTTTTGTTCCGCTTGGTTCGTGGCTGGGTCCCAGCCCCAGAACTGCCAGCGCCAGCACCCTGTGGGCACTCAGGAAATCCTTAGCTGCTCCACGGTGTGAAAGGACCTCTGATCGTGAGTCAGGGCAGTGTGAGCTCATCCCTGGGGGGCCTGGGACCCTGCTGCCGGGTGGGGTAGGGTGGGAACCACTAGTGACCGGGAACAGGGAGGGATGGGGCCCACAGGGGGTCCAGGGGCTCCTCTGCACAGCCGATGCCTGAGGTGCTGGGGAGTGGGCCACACGAGCAACCCCAGCCTCAGATTAGGGACCCACTGACCAGGATCCACTGTGCTGTCAGAATAACATTTCGAAAGGGAAAAAATAAAACATGTAAGGTTTCAATGGAAATCTGCTTTATTGAAAGGCAGTTACCAAAATATGAACAAATACCTTGGTGATACACCAATGGCCCTGCTTCCTCATGGACCTGCCGCCGGCCCCTGCCTCCCTGGCTGGTGAGCACAGCCCCTCCCCAGGGGGCCAGCAACGTCATAGGGCGTGGGAATGCTTCCAATCTGTGGGGGACAGGAAGGCAGGCACTGGGCAGTGCTCACCTTTGTCTGTAAAGGAAGAAATTGCAAACCGTCTCTGAGAGGGAGGTGCAGTTGGGATGGAATCCTTCCCCTTTCCCAGTGCACGGGCCCGAGGCTTAGCCCCACACCCTCAGGGAGTTCAGGCCACAGTGGTGGGGCTGGGCCAGAGTAATTTCTTGAACCGATGCTGACCCTCGAACCTCTGGAGTCCTTCTGCCTCCCGGCACCTTCTGCTCAGCCTGAGGGAGGATGGGGTGCTCTCCACGGAGCACCAGGACAGTCAAGGGTCTTTGCCCTGCACTTGTTTGGAGGCCGCAATGGTGGGTCGTGGGTGTTGCTCCATGGCTCCTACCGGGCACTCTCTCTGTGCTTGGCCCAGAAGCCATAAACTCTCTGAATGCCACAGACAAGCGAATAGCAGGGAATGAAAGCTGGGGGTCCTCTTGGGCATGACCCTATGTCAGTCCTTTGAGGACTCTGAAGACCTTGGCTGCACGAACTTCACTGTGCCTCAGTTTTCTCCTCTGTAAAATGGGGATGATAAAGTCACGGGTAAGAAGTAGGCAAGTCCCTGTGACAGTGCTCGGCACGTGGGGGCTGCCTGAGCACCAGCTTTCCTCTCTTGCTGCCGCGATCTGGGGGACAAGCATCCCAGGCAGAGCGTTGCTGGGCTGGTGCTCTGTGGCTGGAGGTGAAAGGGAAGGTCAGTGGGGCTGGGCCAGTTAGATCCAGAGAGGAGGAGTTCTTTGGGGCCAGGCTGGGATCTGCTGACTCCAGGTGTGATGGAAGCAAGAAAGCCTTGACATGTTTCACTTCCCAGGATCATTCCTGTTACCATGTAGGTGAGCCAGGGAGGAAGGCCCTGGGGCCAGAGTGGGAGGCTAAAAATGCAGCCCAAGAAGGGGCCGAGGGAGCATCACGGCATCCAGACCGGTCTGTAGACTTGGGCTGGAGCAGCCAGGCAGAAGCGGAGGACTAGAGAGGAGAGGTTTGGGCGGAGCGATGGCCTCTCTGGATGCTTTAAAATGCAAACGAAGGCGCCGCCACTTTGGAGGTTGGTTTGCAGTTTCTTTCTTTTTTTTTTTTTTATGAGGCGGAGTTTCGCTCTTGTTACCCAGGCTGGAGTGCAATGGCGCGATCTCGGCTCACCGCAACCTCCGC